TTTCTAAAACCTCGGACCCGCAAACAGGCTGCGTAGGAGACTAATTATTTTCCTGATGTTCAATGAATTATGGATGGTGTCTCTGCGAATCGTGAAGTCATTTCAAATTAAAAGTCGAACAGCTGGCCGCCAATGGCGGGAAAAATCAATACGCGATTCTTCACTACTAGTGACGATTTAAAGAAAGCCAATTGCAATACAGCAGGGCATTTTTTAAGAATTCGTCAGTGGGGGGGGCCATCTACAAAAAGGGACCATACTATACCGAGTGTGGAGCAATCATAGATGGTTTGTTGGTAACAAAAAGTTTGGTGTGGTATCGCATTTAATAGTAGGGGGGGGGGGAGAGCAGGGCCGTAGGAAGCTCTTTTCGTTTGGGGGGCTGAAAGCGAGGGCCGAAGGCCCGAGGAAATTTTTAAATTTAGAGTCTCTGAAATGCCATTTCCTGGACTTTTTAGTATGTGGAAATTTAGAATTCAGTAGTACTAAATGGGCGAAGGTGTATTTAATTAACGATATATTGGATAATATACCCTGGAGAGGGTCTGGGGTTTTCTCTCCCAGAAAATTTTTGTATTTTTCTACCCCTATGACTGCAATTCCCTGCATTTTCTGAAACAGATTTTTGGATATACAGCATTACATTATGCTGTAGATAGACTGAACCTGCAGTTAAGTACTTGCATAGTATGTTTATGTAGATACCACAACTTGGCAGTCACTTAGGGAGCCAGCTTGATAAACTTAGAGTTCCCGACTCCCACGAAGCGCTACCATGGTTGGCACAGAGTGGAAAAATTTTGAAAATTTTGCGTCTCTAAATCATCGGAAATGGCATTTTCAAAGTCTTCTATACGTCTTTTGTTTGGCCCTTTCATTAATTCGTTCATTATGATTTGTGAGTCTATGATCGATATCCGCGAGTCAGGATGGATTATTACGAGAAATGTTATCAAAATATCGATTACAGATATTTGATTATATGTATATATGATTTCAAATACTTCTAGTATCGAAATCAAATTGGGTTTTTTTGGTGGGGGCAAAATTATCCGCCCCCCCCCCTTATAAAACACATGGTTGAGGGCCTGTTGCCCCTTGCGGTCACTAACTTGTCCAACAACTCAAACTCTATAGGGTCTGGGAAATGCAATCCACTGCCTGGGAAATGTTTAAAATCTAATAATTAAGGTATGTATTAAACATAAAAGACAGGACATAAGATTCACAAAGCAAATTTCAGTTACTAGAATATCAAACCTCCCTTCTAAACTCAATGTTTTGCTTATATTTTAGAGAAAAGGGACTTTGACTGGGAGGGGCAAAATGGTTGAGTGGGGGGGCCACCATGGGGGCTGGGGGGGCTTTGGCCCCCCCAGTTATATAGTTAAAAAATGCCCTGCTGGGTAACAAGTTGATGACAACAAGCTCGTAGCGACTTGTTACGAACAGCCTGTATTAGGCTTGCTGGAACAACTTGAAGCAAGTTTGTTACCGTCGTCAACCTTGTAACAAGGTGATAACAACTTGTTCCAGACTTGTCACAACAACTGGGAACAAGTAGTACGAACACATCCTGATATCGACTTCACAACAACCTTGTTACAACTTGTTTGCAGATCTGTAACAACTTGCGCGATTTCACGCGAGGTACACACGCGTGAAACCGCGAGGTACACACGTAAAAACGCACAAGTTGTTCCAGGTCTGCAAACAAGTTGTTACAAATCTGTTCACAAGCTGTCGACAAGTTGTGTTCGCACTGCTTGTTCTCAGTTGTTGTAACAAGTTTGGAACAAGCTGTTAACAACTTGTAACAAGCTTGATGGCATTATCAGATTTCGGTTACAAGGTTAATGTTCTAACAAGTTCTGATACAGTCATGATATAAACAAGAATATTACAAGGTTGTAACAATATTGTTATATCATGACTGTATCGGACAGTCAGGGCCGCCGAGAGGGGGGGGGGG